ACCAGCATAAGAGACTACATCTTTTGAAAGCATCTCATAATCTTCTACGGGTCTATGATCCCGAGGTGCATGCTTGTAAAAGAGCTTAATAGCCTCGTCATTATTTAACAAGCTGATATTGTATATCACGTTTACTTTGCGAGCATTTAACAAATGGTTATCTCTCGTTGTGACTATTATTCGGCTTCCTTTACCAAACCAAGCAGCTGATCCAGCTAACTCCTTTAGCTGGTCAGCATGATCCACATCATCAAGAACCATCAAGACCTTTTTACGGCGGAACCTACTCTTTATCAAACTTCCTACATCTCCAACTACTTCCTCTCTTTTTTGTTTCAAAACAATTGAGAGAATTTTTCGTTGCAATTCTTCCAAACCATGCTTTCTTGATTCTTCCCGAACATCTTTTAGAAAGCAGGAACCCTCAAAGTTGCTAGAGATTTCATCATAAAGAGCAGATGCAAGAGTAGTCTTGCCACCACTGACCACCTCCAAGCCCCCATATGCCTACCATCAGTACATCATCTGATTCCATTTCCATCTTAGATTTCAGATCTTGCAGGCGAGCCTTTATTCCAATCAAGTCTTCATCGTCACTTGAAATTGGCGCACACAATCTATTTGAAATCGTGTCAACAATTTGTTTGATGAATACAGTCTCGGGCCTGGATATTGGATATAAAAGGAAAATTAACAGATGCTCTAATTGAGAAAACAGGTAATTTGTTCCCTTATTTAGATTTAACAAATCGAATAGAACATTTGTAGGACAACCTAATGCATTTTCCTTGTTCATCACTTTAGTACTTCCAGTTATGTGTTTCAAACAGATGATTCCTCCGAAAATATAGATTTCTTAATAAATTTTTATATAGTACAACTGTACAGGTACAATTCTACTCATAGTTTATAGTTGTTCTCTAAGGGTGCGTTTGGTAGACAGAACAGGGTGGGACAGGACAGGACAGGACAGAACACACTTGTCCCATGTTTGTTATGGCTTTATGTGGTACTAACTAGAACTAACTAGAACAAGAGTGGGACAAGGGAGTTCTAGTCCATACACACAGTCTGCCTCCATTGCATTACCTTCTCCTTCATCAGGTACATGATTGCCCTAACCTTCTCTTTCTCCATCGCTATGTTTGAATCGATTTAGACGCAAAAGCTCGTTAATTAGGGTTTATGCTAAGAGGATTACAGCAACTACATTTTTACCAGCTTGTTTATGCTAAGAGGATTACATCAACTACATTTTTACCAGCTTGTTTATGCTAAGAGGATTACAGCAATCGATTTAGGGTTTACATTGATTATGATTGCTGAATGTTGTTGTTGATGAATTGGTTTACATTGATTATAATTGTTGAATTGATTATGAGAGTTTACTTGATTTCGTAGTGAAAAAACACTAAACAGCTCACGGGGTAAATTGGTCATTTTAACCAGTTCTGTCCTGTCTTGTCCTGTCTTACCAAACGCTGAACAGCTGTCCTGTCCTGTCCCGTCCTGTCCAGTCCAGTCCTATCTGCGCACCAAACGCACCCTAAAAACATAAAAAGGCTTTGGGTTTATCCTTTGAAAGCTTACAAGTAGAATTAGGTTGTAGAGTACAAACACTTGAAGCATAAATTTTTAAAGAAAACAAATAAAATTACCCATTGGCGACGTCTCCAGATAGGTTCCCTGCATCCACAAGTGCTTTTCTCCAATATTCAATTTTTGTTCTCCGACTCATGTTTTGCAAGTGCCTCTCCATATTTCGCCTTTTGTTTTCTGAGTTCAGAGGGATCCATGTGATAAAATATGGGCATAACTATTTGACCTCTCTCATCCTTGCATTTCATAATATGTGCAAGTTCTTGCAAGCACCAAGAAGAATCGGCATAGTTTTCAGAGAATACGATGACAGCAATCTGTGATTCTTCAATAGCCTTCAAAAGGGATGGACCGATGATTTCTCCCCGGGGAAGTGTTTGGTCATCCTTGTATGGGTAGATTCCTTGTTGTACAAGAGCCGAATAAAGATGATCCACAAAATTGTTGCGAGTATCTGTTCCTCTAAAACTGAGGAAAACATCATGATTCCACGATTGCAAAGAAGAAGATGATGAAGATGCCATTGAAAGGTTGATTTGTGTAGAATGAATTGAGTACTACAAGAAGGTTGAAGAAGATGGATGGATCAGATGTGAGAGGCCAATCACGGGCATCACATTCAAGAGGAAATTCCAGCCATCAACATTGACTTTTGACTTTAATCAACACAGCCATGGAGGAAGTTTCTTGGTTGGTGCTTGTGAGTACCCAATAAACAAAAAGACTAAATTACATTCTTAGTCCCTAAATTTTTCACAAAATAACAACTTAGGTTCCTAAAATGAAACAATTATGGATTTGATCCTTGGGGTAGGCTTGTTCATCGGTTGACATCCATTGGATGTGAAGGGAAAATTGATCCAATCATCCATTGGATGTTTGATTTTGTCAACCGATCCGATTCCGATTAACATTTGATAACTGCTTCAATCCAATCCAATAGATGATTGGATCAGTTCGGTTTCATCCATTGAGTACTTTTATTGGATTTCCATAAGATATCCAATGAATGATCTGATGGGATTGAATCCATTCAATGTGTTAATTTATTCCAATTCTCTAACAATAATACAAATTAATTAAGCACTTTTAATATGTATTAAAACCAACACAAGGGAAGTTAAAAGTTCAAAGTCTTACATAAAACAAATTCCGATTTAAGCAATTTGAAAATAACTTAATTGGATGATAGTTGGATAATGGTTGAATGAATAACTGGATGGTCATCAGATGATTAATTGGATGTTGATCGGCTCGGTTTGGTTTTGGTCGGTTCTAGACTGCCATCCGAGAACCGACCGATCCAAATTGAATGTTGAAATTTTAATTCGATCCTATCCAATTACAATTGGATATCCAGTTATCGTCAGTCGGTTCCGGTTGATAACCTGAACAAGGGTTGCGGGAGGGGGCTAGAGTGCAATCGTCGGAGGGTAGAGTGAAGTGGAATCTGCCGGACAGGTCTGGGCTGGTAGAATCGCCGGAGAGGAGTGGAATATGAAGGCGGGATAGTAACGGAAAAATAAGTTATAACTCATCGAACCTTTGCTAATTGGTTACATTTTAACTTCTTTTTATGTTAAAAAATGTTTTGTTTTCTAATATTTATGTATGGATATAATAAATAATTCCGAATTAATCTAATTTTTTATGAAAAATTTATTAACTGAAAACTGGTTGTTTTATTTTTTATGAGTTCTTATTGACTTTTGGATTTTAAGTAAGGGGCTGTTTATTAGACACCTCTAAAACACCATCTCCATTTTCCATGCCCAATACATCCTTGATAACAATGACTTCTTCCTTGTACCAATTCCATCTATCAACATATACTAAGAATCCACTAAATTTATTGTACCAATTCCATGGAAGTTGTAACGTAAATGCTTCCCGTGCAAAGCCTCTTATTGGAACATAACATTCTTCAAATAGGATACTAATAAAGTAGTCTTCGATAGCATTTCCCTGTCATGATGAATATTATTAGCATCATAATTTTGTTTGGGTCTATGCATATATATATTGAAATTCAAMAAGATATATACCTGAAGCATGGATTGCAATACCCTCTCACCATTATAATTGCTTGGTGGAAGTATGACTTTCCACAACCATTTAAGATGGTTTGTTGGAAAATCTCCAATTTTAAGAGACCTGCACCCTTCTGCAATGAGAATAGATATGCCTGAGGGGAGATCCGGTAATTCCACAAGGTTATAGCAAAAAGACACGTCGATGAATTTGAGATGAGGAAGTTGCGAGAGGCTGGAAGGCAATCGTGAAAACTCATTCCTGCTTACGTCTAATACTCGTAGGTTGGATAACTCCTCACAAAAAACAGTGGAGATGTCTTCATCTACCAAATTGCACCCTCCAAGACTCAACCTTCTTAAAAAACGTGGAAAGCCAAGAAATTCATTCACTGCTCCTCGCTGAAGATTGCTACAAGATAAAGAAAACACATTTAAACAACATTCTACATCGAAGAGGCCTTCTGTTGGTATGTTCTTAAGTTGATCACAACCCTTGAGAGAAAGAAATTGCAGATGTTTTAAGAGATGGAAGTTGCTTTCAATACTATGCAGATATCTACACCACCTCAAATCAAGAGAAACAAGGTTGTTACAGTATTGTCCAATTGATGAGGGTACAACTTCTATCCCACTTCTTCTGAAACTAAGCTTTACCAAGTTGTCCATGCTGGTTTGGATCTCTGGGAACGTACAAAGATTACGGCAATGAGAGAGTATAAGAGTCTCCAACTTTTTCATTCGGAAGATGGGTGGAAACAGTTCAAGGCTTGTACAATAGTCCATTGCCAAGAAAACAAGCCTTTCATGATATCCAATTGACGGATGTATCTCTTTTAAACTCCAACAATGCCTTAATATCATTCTTTCAAGACATGGAAGTCCATCAAAATCCGGTGTCCTGACTAGCTTTGGGGAATGAGAGAGGTCGAGCACTTTCAAATTTGGTAGATGCTGTTGTATACAATAGCACACAAGTCAATTATATCAATGTATTCTTTAATATCATAGAGTGTATGATAACTAACACAAATTAATTATATTTTCCAAAAACAAATTAAAACGAGCCATGGATCGCATTAGGGTCAACAACCTTGTTCTCTTCCGCTTATTGTGAGACATTTGGAAGAAACTCATATTTATAACATATACGATCAGTTTAATATAAAAAATCACAGTAAAATCGTTTTTTAATATAAAGAAAATAATGCTTAAAATCACACATACATTAACGATTATGTGCTTTAATTCTTCATTACAAATTTGATCAAAATTGAACTTTTCCCATGGTTGATTACTTAATCGTATTTCTCTTCTACATGCTAAGGAGCATGTAATTAGTTAGAGTCAGATTCACATGCATGGGGTCGCCTAACGACACTGATATTCAATCATATCAATATTACTACTTAAGATTAATTACTCTGTAAATTAGTTAGATTTATGACTAATTATACTCCCTTAATTAGAGAAACAATAAGAATTACCTTATAACCCTCCCAAAGTTGCACTACCAAGCTCCGTTCCAATCGTAGACAACAAAGCTCCATTGGTTGAAATTCTCTTGGCAATGAAGTTGATGAATAGCCAAGCAAAGAAATCCACCGAAGTCTCTTCATGTTACCAACAACCTCGGGAAAACTGGGAGGAACCTCTTTGTCCGACCAAAACCAAGCTTTTAATGCTTTAATCCTGTCATTTTCCTATGATAAAGAAACAAAATGATCATAGTGTTTAGTTAGACCACATATCTTTTATACCAATATAACATATATACAAACAAACTACCTCCAACATTACCTTCATTGCATCCATACCACATATTTTTACAACATCTTCCAACTGCCAAACCCTGCTGTGTAATTCTGGATTTTTAGGATTTTCTCTTCTAACGATGTAATGTCCCATTTCTTGTATCAGATCATGCATATCGAGCGTTCCTTCTTCTGACACAGTTATGAGAGACTTTTGTGTCAACACCTTTACCCCTATGATAGGGTGAAAACCACAAGCATCAAATATCACCATTGCCTCATCTTTCTCTTTTCCCCTAAAGAAACATGCAATATCTAGGAACAACTCTTTCTCCACAGGTTTAAGTCCATCGTAGCTAATTTTTAGCTTTTCTACAATATCACTCTCTGGGATCTCTTTTAGTCTGGCCAAAGCACTCGTCCACTCACTTATGTCTTTGTCACATAGAAAAGAACCTAGAACTTTAAGTGCCAACGGGAGCCCACCAGCATAAGAGACTACATCTTTTGAAAGCATMTCATAGTCTTCTATGGGTCTATGATCACGAGGTGCATGCTTGTAAAAGAGCTTAATAGCCTCATCATCATTTAACAAGCTGATATTGTATATCACGTTTACTTTGCGAGCATTTAACAAATGATTATCTCTCGTTGTGACTATTATTCGGCTTCCTTTACCAAACCAAGCCTCTGATCCAGCCAACTCCTTTAGCTGGTTAGCATGATCCACATCATCAAGAACCATCAGGACCTTTTTACGGCGGAACCTACTCTTTATCAAGCTTCCTACATCTCCAACTACTTCATCTCTTTTTTGTTTCAAAAKAATTGAGAKAATTTTTCCTTGCAGTTCTTCCAAACCATGCTTTCTTGATTCTTCCCGAACATCTTTTAGAAAGCAGGAACCATCAAACTTGCTAGAGATTTCATCATAWAGAGCAGATGCAAGAGTAGTCTTGCCACCACCGCCAAGCCCCCATATGCCTACCATCAGTACACCATCTGATTCCATTTCCATCTTAGATTTCAGATTTTGCAGGCGAGCCTTTATTCCAATCAAGTCTTGATTGTCGCTTGAAATTGCCGAAGACAGTTTATTTGAAATGGTGTCAACAATTTGTTTGATGAATATTGTCTCGGGCCTGGACATTGGATATACAAGGATAATTACCAGATGCTCTCATTGAGAAAAGAGGTAATCTGTTTTCCCACAAATATAGATTTTTAATGGATGTTTATATAGTACAAGTAAAAATGCATGCATAGTTTGTAGTTGTTCTCTAAAAACACAACAAGTTTTCGGCTTTATCCTCTAAAAGCTTATATGGTACAAGTATAATTGTGTTGTCGCTATTGTACAAACACTTGAAGCATAATTTTTAATGGAAACAAAGAATAAGATTACCCATTGGCGACATCTCCAGATAGGTTCCCCACATCCACAAGTGCTTTTCTCCAAGATTCAACGTTTTTGTCCTTTGACTCATGTTTGGCAAGTGCTGCTCCATATTTCCCCTTTTGCTTTCGGAGTTCAGAGGGATCGATGTGATAGAAAATGGGCATAACAATTAGGCCTATCTCATCTTTGCATTTCATGATATGTGCAAGTTCTTGCAAGCACCAAGAAGAATCCGCGTAGTTTTCAGAGAAAACGATGATAGCAATCTGTGATTCTTCAATAGCCTTCAAAAGCGATGGTCCGATGGTTTCGCCTCGGGGAAGTGCTTGGTCATCCTTGTAGGTGTAGATTCCTTGTTGTACAAGAACCGAATAGAGATGATCCACAAAGTTGTTGCGAACGTCTGTTCCTCTAAAACTTAGAAAAACATCATGTTTCCGCGATTGAGAAGAAGAAGAGGGAGGAGTGGAGTGAAAAGACGATGAGGAAGATGCCATTGAAGGGTTGATTTGTTTCGGAGGCGGCCCCATACAGAAAACTAAACGTAAGCACCGTAAAACACAACGAAACAAAACGGTGACAGTACCGTCAAGGATCGTACAGATCGATGAAAATATTTCCATTGAAGGATGAAGGAGAAAGATTGATGTGATTTGAGTAGATGAATGAACTGAAGTCGATATGATTAGCACAATATAACAAATTTGTGTCCTAAAATGAAATATTTATGGATTTGATCCCTGTGGTTTGCTTATTATAACAACTTTGATTCCCTTGCTTTAACTCTGTTAACATTTTTCTGTTAAGTAGGTTAACTCATAAGGGTATTTTAGTAATTTTCAATCTTCTTTTAAAATAAAAAGAGCTTTCTCCCAAACACCAATCCGATGCCACATATCCCTCTTTTCTCCCTCTTCCCCATCCATTTCTGTTGACGGCGGCTGTTTGGTGGCCACTCCAGCAACCCCTCCCATTCAAACCCATATTTACCCATTATATTATTGGGCACTCCCATCATATAGGATTACTTGTTACATGAACTTACATGTCATTTAAAAAAAATCTAATTTAAAAACAACTTTTAAAAGGAATTTTGCATCAAAAAGGTAACGTATTTTTAAAATCTTCATTATGGTATTTGAGGTTGGAAGTTTCAAATATTTAAATACTTAGATAACTGGTTTAACTATTAACAGATTACCATACTGACATGACGAGTGACACAACATACTACTCAAAATTTGTTTGCTAATATGGCTAATGAGTTGGATTTTATTACATTAAACAATTGTAAAATGTATTTTCTTTAATCACTGCCAATTAACTTAAAAACTGTTATCTTATATTATATATAATACATAATACATATTTTTACACAGTTCAGGTGAAGACAACAACCATTTTAGGCACCATCTCCGGTTATCATCTCCGATGTTTGTTTGTGGTCACCATCTTGGACGTTTGTCTGCGGTCACCATCTCCGGTGGGGTATGGCTGTGGTCTCTATGCAATAACAATAAGGTGATGGTTTGTTTTTTTGAGAACCTGTAATGTAATTAATGGGGTTACTATTATATGAACTTCTTTAAGAAAAATCACTTGGTTTATTTGGTTTGATGTAAGAGAAAATTTCCATGAAATTGCAGTCCAACAAAACTGATGGGCTTGGGCTTGTAGGTGGGTGCATGACACTTGGTTGACTTCTTTGTGTTAGATGTATGAATTAACATTTATCGTATTAATTAATTTTTTATTAATTTAGTTCTATGGGACCTAAAAGATCTGTAAATTATACATACGAAATCTTACACAAAACACATAAGATTTATTTTCATAACTCTAAATAGACAAAAATCAACTGTAAGAAGTACTATGTCATCAAGTTCACATTTTCTGGTCAACAACCTTCCAGCCTAGTGTAAGGGCTTGGGCATGACATAGTCATGGTCCCAAGTTCAAACCCTGGGAGTGGAAGTTGGAGACATTTAAGTGGGGCATTGTTTAGCCTCCAAATTTGCCTGGGAAAACCGTTCAAAAAAAAAAAAAAAAGTTCACATTTTCTAAAGCAACTATGACTGATTTAGGAACCGTTTACCAAATGCTTACCCGGTAAGAGCTTATCAGTGAGAGTAAACACTTTCATTTAACTTACTAAGTAAAAATGTAGTCCATTAAAACGGCACCGTACGCAATAATTGGTAAACGCTTACCGGGTAAGAGTATCACTCTCACTTACCGCGTAAGACTCTCGGTCCTTGTTATCGCTCTTACTGGGTAAGATTCTCGATCCTTTTCATGTTCATTCAATAAGGTAAATTGACCCGGTAAATAAGCAATTAGTAAACAGCTCCTTGGTTATACAGGAAAATAGGGGTAAATAGAGTCTTAAAGTATTTAGAAGAAACATACTTACCCATCTTGTAACTGTTACGGTGGTAAAGTGACAAGAAAACAACCAAAATAATCAACCCCTTGAAGAAGTAAAAGTGCACTGCACTTACTTTTACTTAGGGGCCGTTTACCAAATGCTTACTCGAGTAAGTGCTTATCAAGTCACATTTCTTTACCGGATAAATATAGCAAGAACAAATAATCTTATCTGGTAAGGGCGAAGACAAGAATCGAGAATCTTACCCGGTAAGTGATGACGACAACTCTTACCACAGTTAGTGCTTACCGGGTAAATTGTTACATACGATGCCGTTTTGGTAGACTAAAATCTTATCCGGCAAGTAATCGATAGAGTTGAATTCTATTGTTAAGCGCTTACCGGGTAAGTGTTTAGGTAAAAGGCCCCTTAGTCTTTTTCTGTTTTGTGAATAATCCTATTCTTTAGGAGCTTAGAAGTTTTCCTTTTCTGTTTTTGATTCTCCTGTTTTTTAGCTTGCTTTAGTTGTAGCTGTGGCTATTTAAAGGCCCTCTTTGCAGCAATAAAAATCCATCGAATTTTGGTCTCTGTTTCTTGATTTTTCTTCTAACAATCTCGTATCAGAGCTGATCGATCARAACMGAGAATAGAAAATGAGTGAGGAGAAGCTGAAGGTGCCCCATTTTGACGGACACTATGAGCACTGGAGTGAGATGATGGAGAACCTTTTGAAAGCGAAGAGACTATGGAACCTGATCGACCCCGGTTTTGAAGAACCCTCACCTGGTATTGTTCTCAACGAGGGACAAAAGAAGCGACTGGAAGAGGCCCATGTTAAGGATCAACAAGTGAAACATTACCTCTATCAAGCGATTGATAGGGTAACGTTTGAACAGATTCTTGATAGACGTACAGCAAAAACCGTGTGGGATTCCATGAAGAAGAGGTTCGAAGGGAATGAACGAGTTAAGAAGTCACTACTGCAGAAATTACGAAGAGATTTCGAAGTCCTTGAAATGAAATCCAGTGAGACGATTACGGAGTATTTTGCTAGAGTCTTGACGATCTCGAATCAGATGAGGAGCAATGGAGAAACGATGCCCGATGTCAAGATAGTTGAAAAGATTTTGCGGACCCTCACAGAGAAGTATATGTTCGTGGTGGTATCCATTGAAGAGTCCAGAGACATCGAGAAGATGTCGATAGACGAACTACAAAGCACGCTGGTAGTTCATGAGCAGAAGTTCAAAAAACATGACAAGGAAGAAGAGCAAGTCCTAAAGGTCTACTTCGATGAAGGCACGAGGGCTCGAGGTCGAGGAAGATCAAGCTTTAGAGGAAGAGGACGGGGCCAAGGAAGACAATCATATAACCGAGCAACCACCGAGTGTTACAAGTGCCACAAATTGGGTCATTTCCAATATGAATGCCCAACATGGAGGGAGGCAAACTACGTAGAGTTCGACGAGGAGGATGAGATGATGCTCATGGCACAACTCGAGGAAACAAAGAAGAACAATGTTTGGTTCTTGGATTCAGGTTGCTCAAACCATATATGCGGAGACATGGAGAAATTTACCAACTTGGATATGAGTTTTTCTCACTCGGTCAAGTTGGGAAATAATACACGAATTGAGGTCAGTGGAAAGGGACAGGTAAAACTAATGTTGAATGGTGGTGCATATGTGATAAGTGAAGTCTATTACGTGCCAGAACTCAAGAATAACCTCTTAAGCATGGGCCAACTACAAGAGAAGAGACTGTCAATCCTTATACAGTCCGATATATGTAAGATATACCACCGCCAAAAGGGGTTGCTAATTCAAAGTAGTATGAGTACAAATCGCATGTTTCCAGTATTCGATCAATCTATAGCGGGTACCGTAAAGAAGACTGAAGGATGTTTATATTCAACCACAGAAGATCTCTCCAAATTATGGCATGAGCGTTATGGGCACCTAAGTACTACAGGAATGGAGATGATACAGAAGAAGAATATGGTTCGAGGGATGTCGGAGTTTGAGGTCAGCAAAACCATATGCACCGATTGTCTTGTCGGTAAGCAACACAGGAAGGCCATTCCAAAGCAAAGCATGTGGAGAGCAAAAGAGATTCTTGAGTTAGTACACTCTGATATTTGTGGCCCGATCACTCCAACGTCAAATAGCGGAAAAAGGTACGTCTTATGCTTTATAGATGATTATAGTCGAAAAGCTTGGTCTTATTTGCTTGGKGAGAAATCAGAAGCGTTCGTATGCTTCARRAATTTCAAAAACCGGGTTGAAACCGAGACAGGTAAGATGATCAAGGCTTTACGGACAGATAGAGGCGGAGAGTTTACATCGGAGTTGTTTAATAAATTTTGTACGGAGCATGGAATAATTAGGCAATTAACTGCCGCATATACKCCCCAGCAGAATGGCGTTGCAGAGCGAAAAAACCGAACGGTGATGAACATGGTGAGAACAATGTTGGCTGCCAAAAAGATGCCGAGAGTTTTCTGGACGGAGGCTGTGGTCTGGACTTTTTACGTTCTCAATAGATGTCCTACTAAAGCACTAAAGGATGTTACACCTCAAGAAGCATGGTGTGGTACCAAACCTACTGTGGAGCATTTTAGAGTATGGGGATGCCTTGCCCATGTTCACGTATCTGATCAGAAACGAGGTAAGCTTGATGATAAAAGTGTCACTTGCATATTGGTAGGCTTAAGTGAAGAATCAAAAGGCTACAGACTCTACAATCCTCAAACAAATAAGATCACTACAAGTAAAGATGTAATCTTTGAAGAAGGAAAGCTATGGGATTGGAGAACCAATCAAGGTAAAAAAAATGGAAACTGAGCTAACATGGAGTGATGGTGAATGGGAAGAAGACTATGTAGACGACGAAGACGTTCATGATGAAGACAACCAAGGCGAGAATGAAGAAACGAGGGCTGCTGGAACCAACAATACAGGAGCGAGGGAGGGTCGGCAAAGGAGAACCCCACGTTATCTTAGTGATTACGTCACCGGTAATGAGCCCCTCGAAGAAGATGAGCTGAATATGGTGGAAATGAATCACCATGATCCAGTAACCTACGAAGAAGCTATTAAAAACAAAAAATGGAGAGTTGCTATGGATGCCGAAATAGAAGCTATAGAGAGGAACCACACGTGGGA